TATATCCATTTCTTTGTTTAATAGTTATGACTATTAAGGCTATTTGCTACCATTCCTAACTTTCAACTGCTGACCAAAAAAAAGGCAACTGACTGTCAACTCATGGACTAATCTTTTACCAAGTGGAATTGACCATGGACCTATGTTATGAAAAAAAGTTAATTAAAAAAGTACACACTTTAAGTGTTATTTGAAATAACATTACACAGTAAGTTTGAGTTTCATAACATCATCAAAATACCAGCATTACACAGTCTTAGATACTTTTCTATGAACTTGTTTCTTTAAGTAAGCTATTTCTGATAATATAAATTAGAAAAAGTTAGCAAATATTAATCACCTAAATTACCTAAGTAAGAAAATTAGAAAACACAAGAAAATGTCAAAAAAGTGTTTAATATATTACAAAAGTCTAAGAAATTTATTATTTTTATTGACAAACCAATTGCACCTCTTATAAAAAATAAGTTGAAACAAAAGAACAGCTAACTGCATGAAAAATAACTCTTCTTTATCATTTTTCTAGTTTTCATATTATCAAAATGACCTTATTTCTCATATAGAGGTCCTGCACATGACATTACAAAACTTTCTGTTTCATTCAATGTCATTATATTGGATATCAATCATTCCCTTTTAGCAATCCAAATACATAAAAGATTTGATAAAGCTTTATATAATGTCAATGGCATAAACCTTACCTTTGACAAATTATTCAGATTTGAAACTTTAAGACTATTCAATTTCTCAACATATCTTTTTTTAAGCACATTGCTGAGATCATTTATAGAATCAGAAAACATGTTATTAGAAGCCAATTTTGTAAATTTTAACCTAAGACAAATGTAGACATTTGACATCCAATACTGCAAAATAAATTACAACCATGTGACTTTTTAATATTAGCAAGACTTCTTTAGGCCAAGAGTTCCAGCCCAGCAGGCCCTGAGGGTATAAACTTTAACAAAACAGTGGCATGCAAATTGTAATAGTGTGTGAATTCCAACCCTATTTAGTCTTTTTGGGTTCCTTATGAATCATTCTTTTAAACCAAATCAAAAAGAACTTATGTTCTCAGCACTAAAAGGTCAACTAGCTGGTTTTCACAAAACTTAAGTTTCAAACTGTGAATAAGAAGTCTCTTTTTCTGTAAAATCTTTATAATTTGAAAATTAACAGAATTTAAAAGCCTTTACTGCTATATTTTTAATCACACTTATATATGAAATTATGGTAAATACTATAATGATTCCATGTGTAGGCTTCAAATAATATTTTATAGGGGCAGAATCACAGGGAACAATTTATCCTATGTAATCACACCTACAACAAGCTGACAGAAAGGTGTAAGTTACTATAGATAACAAAATAAAAACTCATGGAAGAACTAGCTTTAAAATTGAACTGAAAATTACTAACACTATTGAATAGAAAAAAAAGGAGAGTAACAAAAAGGCTATGAAGCTAATTTAACTAGTTTTGGATTAAAAGATGATGAATGGTTCATAAAAGAAAATATTTTCCAGTTCTGGATGAAAACCATATTATTCATCAGCAAGATTACAAGAATTTGGCTAATATTTTCTTGAAAATAAAATGATGTGAAACTGATAAAGTAAGAATATTGTCCATAAAAAAAAAGAGCCTATAATGACAAAATACAAGAAAGTATACAAATTAAATAACTTCTATTCATGACAACATAAAAACAAATTAGCTAGCTAGAACCCAATATAGCACAATAGCTAATAATCATTTTTATCGTAAATGACAATTTAAAAAAATAAAGCTCACTCAGGAACCTATAAATTCCCATTTTACCACATACAGGTTGATATACTCTATAATTTTTAAACAGAAAATTTCTCAAGTATCTTTCAATAATCAATTAAGTACCACCTCTGTACTAATTTCACAGTTGAACAAAATGCTTATCTTTTGTAGGAGGTTAAGCATTAAAAATTTCAGTTGCTTCTTTGTTATTTTTTCATCATAAACTATATTTAACTATAACTTCACTTACATAGGTTTCTATCACTTATTTTAAGAAGAATAAGGTTAGTATTTTGGAGAACTGAATCAATCATGGTTTTAATGGTTTTCATCCAGAACTTCAGCACAGTTATTTTTCTGCGTCATTCATTCATCATAAAATTAAGAAGTATTTGAATAAACTCCAGTTAAAAACTTCAAGTGACCAAGCTGCCTATTACTCACCTTCTCTCATTCACTGCTGGTGATAACTTATAGTTAAAACAGAAACTCAAACTAATTTGAAAGCTAATTTTTTCACAAGATGCTTTTCATTTCATGTTTAAACCTACTATAAGCTCAAATGATTTTTTTTTCACTGTTAAAGAGTGGAATCCTTGTACATCAGTGCTTTTGTATAGTTTAGAACTTACATTTCCTTGCTGTGTCTGTCACTATGTGGTATAAACTGTTTGTTGTATTTCCTCCTGTGTAAACGAATATTTGAAGCCTGACCTATGGAATCAGTCCAAAGTCTATTAGAACTTCATTGACAGATGTCATGGAAATTCCAATAGTAATATTTTTTGCAAGGCTTTGAATTACATATTTTTAACACTAAGTGATGTGGTTATTCACCAAACTTAACATAAATCAGTCTACTAGACTTTTATGCTTTAACCAGTGTTAACATATATAACACTTCAATCTCTGTTTGTAATATGAACTGTTTGTGCCAAGTGACCAAGTAAAATTAAAATTATCTCAAATTATATTGCATTTTTTTTTTACTATGATTCTTCAAAATTTCATATTCCTCATATCACTTTCAAAATTGAACTGAAAAACATATGTCATTTATGACTGTGAGACTTATATTTGAATAATTTATTAAACAAATTTCATGTTAGGTCTTTTACAAGAAAATCAACACAGTGACTTGTTTTCATTATCTAAAAATAATAATAATTTTTGCCTTTAAAATAAATATGCATAATACTTAATTGTTCTTAATAAACTATGTTTTTCATTAAATGTATTAGAATATGACAAATTAATTCTAAGTATATATGCCACAAGATTTATGTTTTGAATTATTATTATAAATTTTAAGCCATAAAAAAATCAAACAATTTTCATTGAAAGTATAAAACACTTAGTTACCTAAAAGATGTAGAAATGTTCACACAAAGGTAAAAGACATTTATTTTTTCATCAAAGTTAAATGATTCTGTCAGACATTGATATCAGCACAGATGAATTCCATAAAGTTTGCATTTCTGCAGTGTATGGTTGTTGGATGACTAAAGTTCTAAAAGAGTGTGTACATAAACAAACTATACAAACAAATGTTAAGAAAGTTCCTAAAGAACAGTCATTTTTAAGTTATAAATATATGTAATTGCCATCAGCAGAATTAATGCAAGAAATAAGTGTTGTGTATATTTTTCTGTACACTGTATAAAAGTACCAAAAATATTTTTGGTAATCAATATAAAATTGTTTTATATATATATATTATGATTTTTTTATTGTAGTTTACATTAATTACAAATACTTTGTTTTTTGATTTATAACATACCATTTTTTATGCTAGAAATTATTTTAATTGGAACATGCACAACATTCACCAAACAGTAGATACAAGCAGCTTTGTAATAGACTACAATGGCTGACAAATTTTATTATTAGAAAGCATTTTAGAGTATTACTATCACTGCCCTAGAGTTAACTGAAACTAAGAACATGTTCATAAAATCATTAGATAAAATAAAAAACAATAAAATTTCAAATTCTGAATAGTATATCAAATGTACATCAATAAGTTTTTAATATATTGTTCTGAGTATGAATTAGTTTTACAATAACACTGTTATGGGGAGGCCTACAACAAAAATAAAAAATAAACTAAATATAAGTTCCTTGTATTTCTGAAATAGTCTCACAGTGATACAACTAATAGTGCCAGGCATGACTTCATGATTAGCATCCCAGACTGTGAATCCATGGTGCATATCCCACTGGCAAAAATTCTTGCTCCACTCTTTGGGGCAGGGTGCATTACAAGAGTAATGGTCAAATTCCGCCAATCGATCAAACAAGACTATCCCAATAGCTAAAACTTGCTAGTGGATGCTTTGACTCTGTTTTTTGTACAGATAGTTCTTGTGTAGCTCAACTCCAATTTCCCAAACCTACAATTTTCATACTAACTCAACAAATGGTCCAAACGATTAAAAACGATTTGGTAAAATACTTTTACAGTGTAAGTTGGGCTATTTGGGAAGGCTAATAGTATTAGAAACAAATACAATTTTGTGTTTATGAAGCACCTATAGGCCTATTAACGTTGTACTATAGTGTATGTTTAAATTACCCAATTTGATTGACCTTGACGTTAGAACCATTGCCTTCAAAAGTTAGTCAATCTATAACTTTGTACATAGTACCTGTTTATAAGCGTGATCAAACTGTCTATCCAATCTTGAAATATCCTATCTATAAGATTGCAATGGAACACAGACGCAGGCAAAACAACATGGTTCACTGTTTCGCGAAGCAGTGAGGGTATAATTTATTAATTATTACATCAGTACTTTCTGGTATTTTATCTTAAATACGATTTATTCTTCTTTTTAATTGTAAAAACAATAATAATAATGATTTCACGCCCGTTTTTTAATTGATTAAACAAAACAATATGCTTATTCTTTGTTATACTGAAGTCAAAGTTTTTTATATGCAATACTGAACAGGTGTAACTAATTCATGGTAATTTTATTCCTGTATATTATGCCTGGACGTTACGTTAGAGTTCGATTTTGAGTCTTTTAATTTTATCTTACTGTGGGTCTAAGATACGGGGAGTGTTACGTGAAAGAGCTACGAATAGGATAAGTGACCCAATTTTTATTTTATGGTTATAACGTTTTAGACTAATGTAATGGTTAGATATTTTAAACAAAATTAGGCAGGGTAAAAATATGCCAAAAAATTATTCTTTTGCGTAACATCTATATTTTGCTTACCTCTGTTGTATTATTTTCGCAGTAGTACTATAACAGACAGTAAGCGGTATCTTCCATTCCCTTTCAATATATTGACTAAGAAAGCGCTACTAGTACTAATCCGCCTCAGTATAGTTGGTTTTTGTCCAGCTAATGCGTGAAAAGCGATTCCTTTGCGATACTTTGGTTTCGTGAACCCTAATCAGATAAAAATAATGTTGAGGATTTTTAGACGTTATACGCCGATCTATCCTATTATTCACTGATAGTTCTGAAATAGCTTTAAATAAGGAAAGCTGTTTGTGTACGAGTATTTACGTCTACCACATAAACTGTGATACAAGAAAGTAAAATGCCATTTTATATTACGTTCCATATTATAAACTTTTTGAGTTTTCTTTCATGAATTTGGAGTATTTTAGGACCTCATAAAGTTTAAAGTAATTAACTTCATGTTTACATTTTTATAAATTATTTCTTAAGTGTTGTGCTGTCAGTGAGCATAATTGTAATTCAGTATCTGGTAGATCTTTTCTTAATCAATTAATACATCATAATATAATTTATTTTTACTTTTTCGTATTTAGGACGCATAGCTGCACAATGAATGGGGTTCGGACCTCACAATTTAGTATTGTTACGCCTCCGTTCGTTAGTTAATTTTCCGTAAAAATTCTTTCCGAAGAAATATTAGCGATACAAGTCCTTTCTTAAATAAAACTGGTTTATTCTTTCTGAATACAACTTTGCGATACACTTAATTTCCACAGTCACGCTATAACAAACGCTATAATTCACAACGAACGTCTCACGTCCTCGACCCAACTGTCAATTACTCATTACTTCCTTGCCGTCAGTTCTTGCCGGTTTATATATATACAAGACTACCACATATCTAGTAGGCTCTCGGGATTTCAGGAACGGACGTGACCGTTCGAGAAGATGACGTGTTACTAGCGTCACGTGACCTCCGCTGTTGTAACACTGCCCCTTCCTTAGAATTGTTTGTCCGGAACAATAGCCACTTACATTAAACCAATAAAAAATTAACAATAACTTAATTAAATGTACAGAATTACAAACACAAAATTACAATTCAACAAAGTCTCCTAATTTTACGGGTCGTATCTTCTTCCTTACTGGTCTCTGTCTCATTGGCTTCTGCTTCAAGTGGGGTTCATTTGCTTCATCA